AAATGTGAGTTGCATGAGAGCCATGGGCCCTCCTTTCATGTTCCATATACCTCCGAAGTTTAGGTTAGTGCCTGGGTTATAGTACCATAGTTGGTACTCAGCACATACTTAGCATGGTGTGTTTGGAAAATTACCAAGTGTCCCTTGTTGCTTGGATGAGGGAAGGAGTCACCGGAGGGGAAAATGGAAGACAGGTCAAGGTAGGTTGTAAAGCACCTCGGATGCCTCCCTAAAAGCCTGGCTATTATCCGTGGGGGTTTTAAGGAAAGAAGGTGACAAATAATCAGGATGCGTTTTGGACAGGTTTCTCTGGCTGCATTGTGACATACAGATTGGATGGAGTAGAGACTAGAGGTCTGAAGCTGGTAGAGAACTGGTCCGCCATAGGAAGGAGTCAGCCTGGAGAGAGGTTTCTAGCCTAGAACTGAAGGGGGTGCTGCTAAGGAGGGATGAGTCCCCAGTAGCAAGTTTCCATCTGGGCCAAGAGGGTGAAAGGTGCTGCTGTTAATCAGCGGTTCTCAACCTGTGGGTCGCGACCCCTTTCACAGGGGTCGCCTAAGACCATTCTGCATATCAGATATTTACATTACGATTCATAACAGTAGCAACATTACAGTTATGAAGTAGCACCAAAAATAATTTTATGGTTGGGGGTCACAACATGAGGAACTGTATTAAAGGGCCAGAAGGTTGAGAACCACTGTGTTAACTAGAATCGGAGTCCAAGCAGAAGGATCAGATCAGTTCTCACACTGTTGTGTTTGGGATGCTTGCAGAAGTTTAAGAGGAGGCTACTGAACCCTGGGAGGTGGCCCTTTGGGACTTGGGAACCAGCTGCAAGCTAGGTCTCAAATGAGTAAAAACTCAAACTGCCCCCAAAAACTCAAACTCAAACTGAATTTCCCAGGTGGTACTTCCAACTCTGCTTCCTTCTAGAAGCTACTGCTGCAGCTGTCTTCAGGATCATCTCTTTATTCTCTTGGCACACAGTGTCTGCCAGAGACTCTTCCCACGAGTTTTTACTTACTTAGAGGATTGCTTATGGACAGTCTATCTCCAATGCCAATGGGTCTGGCTTATCATCCCTCCTCCTAACTTCCTTTCCTGCCAGCAAAGAAATGCCGGAATTAGTGGAAGCGAGATGGATGAAAGTAATCTTGTAGTGGCAAGATTTGTTTTCTAATAAAACCACTGTGCTTATTTAAGAGAGAGCTCCATTACCCACTGTAAGAGACTTAATGCTTTCTGGCTCCAGAGAGGAGCCCCCACCTACCTCTCAGAGCGGTAGCCAGGACTCCTCGCAGGCCCTGAAACAGAGCTCATAACTCTGACCCCCAATAGTTAGTCTGAGAGGAAGTGGACTGTGCACTATTTACTATAGTCTTCAAAACCCAAAAGTTTAAATAAATTTTGGTTTTAAAACAAAAAAGAGAGAGCTCCAGGAATGGGGACACAGCTAGGACATGAGGATTTGAGAATATCCATTCAGTACCTGAAGCTAAAGGAGGAGATTCATAGCAGGGAGTGTGTTGGTATGAGAAGAGACTTTAGGAAACCCAACACTTCAGAGATGGTCAGAATTTGGGGAGTGAATGAAAAAAAAACACCAAAACTGATCAGAGAGGTATAAAAAACAAAGAGCAAATATCTCAGAGGCCAGGAAAGAAGTATTCTACAGAATCCAGCAGAAAATTCAAATAAGATGAAGAATTCAATGGCCTTATATATTAGCATTCATATATTTGTTTTGTTTTGTTTTTAAGTGAGCCAGCTGGACTGCATAGGCTCAAGAAACAAGTTACAGAGGCAGAAGAAGGACCCTTGGAGCTTAGGAGAAAGAAAGGCAAAGGTAATGTGCCTAAGGAAAAGGAAGGGAGGAAAGGAAAGGCACAGGCGGGCTCCCAAGAGGTAGGAGCACTCATACTTTTAGTGACGTCTGCCAGAGCAGTTTTCTTTCGCACAATGGGTGTGGAAGCCATATTACTATGGCCAAGAGGCCAATGGAAGGTCAGAAAGTTGAATTAGGGAGTAAAAAGTTCTCTTTAAGAAGTTTTGTGGAGGAGAGGCAAAATAAAGAATATTTTCTAGGCTAGGGGAAACCCAAGCATGTGAATAATCACAAACAGAAACAGGCAGAGAAAGTCTGAAGATAAAAAGAGAAAGTGAGAGATCATTGATGTGGCCAGGCCCTGAAAAAGTTGGTCAAGCTGGGAATTCAGAGCCTGGCCTTTCTCTTCATAGCTCCTGTCTAGAAGGTAATTACCTTACATCCAGATTCAGCAGACCGGCCAGGTGCTCTACTGAGTAGAAAATAGAGCCACTTAGGAGACATATGTAATACTCTTTGTAATACTTTAAGCAATAAAACAATTAAAAAGGAAATAGAGCCACTTGCAGTAAAATGGAAGAGGTTGGAACAATTGTTGAGAAATATCACTGGGTCTGTCAACTGTAGACCTTGTGATTGGAATTTTTAAGGAAAAATGGAATAAAAGTAAGTCTTCCCCATGGAATCCTGGCTTTCATAGCTGGTCATGGACAAGATAACAAGAGCCAAGAAGCCTCAAGTTTTTTGCCTTTGCCATAATTAACCAATCTCTTTTTTCCCCCCTGATTTGAACTGTAGAGGGTAATTCTGGCCTTAAAAAGAAACCAAGATAACAGTTAACTTTCAGAAATGATAAATCAAACAAAACCAGGGATTCATTGCCCCATTTTTCATCTTTTTAGTAGTTTGGTTTTCAGTGAATGGGCATTGGTACCATAGCCCATTTCTTCTTTACTATTAGATTTGATTCTCCTGATTCTTTTCCCAATTTATGCATATTAACTCTTGAAAAACCTTAATTTCTTCATTCCACAAATGTTTACTGAATGCCTGCTATGTGCAAGATACTGATTCTTCCTTTACTGTGACTTTCAGATATCCAGACTTGAACTGAGGGGGATTGCCAGCTTGAAAATGATCCAAGAACAAAAGAAACATCTCTCACAGGTCATCTATCAAACAAAAACTGAGAAACATTGCGGAAGCCAATTCCAGCATGACAGCAGGTTGAATCATCTGGAGTGGCAAGGGCATTTCTCCAAACCTGAAAAGGATGCATTAAATTGATTGCTGCCAGACAGCTCAGGGCATCTTAATCTGCATGTTATTGCCTCCTTCTGGCCAAACACCTGATGAACAGCCCTAGGCCAGTGGTCGGCAAACTCATTAGTCAACAGAACCAAATATCAACAGTACTTAAAAATAGACTCACCCAGGCGGAAAACCAACTTCTGCGCATGGGCCACGAAGTTTCAATCGCACTGTACGTGTGCGCCCACACGTGGTATTTTGTGGAAGAGCCACACTCAAGGGGCCAAAGAGCCGCATGTGGCTCCCGAGCTGCAGTTTGCTGACCACTGCCCTAGGCTAATTCTTCCATTCTGACAATGGACAGTGTATACGAAACCCTACCCTTTGAAGTGTATATCTCTGCCTCACCTCAGGACAATTTGTGTTAATAAAAAACATGGGGTCCTGAGACGGAGGAGAACTTAGTTTCTTTAGCTAGACTCCTCTGACCCCCAATGCCTTTCAAAATTATGCTTCGCCTTTGGACTCTTAAGTTACACACAGCCCCTTTTCCAGATTGCTGAACCCTTCTTAATGCCAAAACAAGAACCCCGGCAAAACATTATTCATTTTTTTTCTCCTCTTCAGGGCTAAATCTGGACTGTCAATAAGTTATAGCCTGTCCGTGTAAAACCTTCCATTTTCATCTATCTCTTGATTCACCTGGTTTGTCACTTTACATCCAATCAATCACTCATTTCTATGACTTTTCTTTTTGCTATGTTGCAATTCTCATGCTGTTCTGACTTGAATTATTAGGAAGTACGGACCTTGGAAATGAGGCCAAAATAAAAGGGAAATACTCTTCAGTTCCCTTATGAAATAAAGCAGATTTAAGCAGTACTCTTTTCCTCCCCTATTTTGGATGGTCACTAAACTGTCATTGGTTTTCAATAAACAGCACTGCCATACTCACCAAAAAACCTAGCCCATGGCTGTCCTCTTTGTTGTCACTGAGTCCCCAGCTCCTTTATTCTCTACACCTAATCATGAAAGGTTGTAGATTCCTCCTCCACTGGGTTTCTAGTTGTCTCAACATTTTATATTTTTCTCTTCCAATACATTTTATATTTAGTTACTAGTCTAGTGTTTATGTCACTTTCTTTCTCAGTACTTTACAGCTTCACTGTTACCATTTGAATCAAATGTAGGCAGCTTTGAGGACATATCCGTCAGACCCAGCCTCATCTGAATGCTTTTTTTTAAAAATCCCTTTACCCAATGCTCACCCTACTTTTTAAATCAGGGTTTTAAATTTTTTCTTAATATCCAGTGGCATGTCCATTTAACTCTATGTTGAGCTTTTTTGAATAGAAAATGAAGTATGAGTAGTGAAATAGATTTATTCTGCCTTCATTTCTGATCCAGATACATCATGAAGGTTGTTTCTATTCTGATCCCATTGTGTGATAGCTTCTATGATTAGCCTCCTTGTTATGGTTTAATATTTCAGAGTTCCCCAGAGTATGTTTCCAAGTCTGATTAAGACTTTTAGAAGCTCCAAGACTAAAAAATTATATGGACACTCTCCCAAATATCATTCAAAATATAAACAATTCTAAACCAGAAAATAAGTGTAAGAAAGTACAACTAAGTTCTGATTATTTCTCTCAAAATGGTTATTTCATTTTGAAATATTTTCAAAAACATTTTTTGTCCTCCGGCTTTGCTATGCGTCTTTAGCAGATGTTTGATCAGCACATGTCCCTCTTAGGAAAAAACTGCTCCCTAATCATCTAACTGTCCAAAAAAAGCAGTTGATAGTTGTGGGGGAGGGGCAAGTCCTGACCTCATCATTCTAGTAAGAAGTTGTTCCACAAGGGAAAACTGAAGTGGTGATCCTTAAGCTGGGTCCCTACAGGGAAAGTAGTGCCAGCCCTACTCACAAGGATAATTAAGTGATTTTTGTATCTCCTTTAGACTTTGGATAAAGAACTGAAAAACTGAAAACACCAATTTAACTTAAAACTGTTCATTTTAAGGCCTTTATCAAAATCTAGAGTGACCAGGGCACTCTCTGGTCACAAGAAGATATTTCAGAATAACAATAGCATTTTAAAAAATTGATTTTAGAAAAGAAGGAAGAGAGAAATATCAATTTGTCATTCCACTTTTTGTAGTTTATTTTTCTATATATATTTTTAAATTTATTTTTTATCTTTTTTGTTTTATCTTTTTTTCTGTTTTCTTACTTTTATACAAAAAATTGTATTGATTTTTAGAGAGAGGAAGGGAGTGAGAAAAACAGATTTGTTCCATTTATTTATGCATTCATTGGTTGCTTCTTCTATGTGACCTAACCAAGGATGGAACCCACAACCTTGACACATCAAGATGATGCTCCAACCAAGTGAGCAACTGGCCAGGGCTTGTTCTGTTTTATTTCTTGATGTTTCCTAATTACCTAGCACAGTTCCTGGCTAGGAGGTCAGGGATTTGCTTGAAGGCTAGAAGGTCCTATTTTCTAGAGTAAGGTAAGCTAGCTAAAACTGAGTTGGAAGGTTGTGATTGGTGTATGTTAGGTTGCATTATTAGTCACTCACACTAACAGTGAGTTCACCAGATCCTTTCCTAAGAGGAGAGATAGAAAAAGGAGCATGGAGTTTAAAAACTGGAAGAAGGAAGGAGGGGGTGCTGGAAGGGACAGAGAGATTTTGAAACCAGACAAGGAATGGGTCTGGGCTGCCTGTCACTACTTTAGCCAATCAAGCAGAGACAGGGTTGAATTATGTATGAGGTTTTATTTTTCAATATTGCCCGCAACATGGGAGAACAGCAGGTCATCCACAAAAATCTACTCTATATCCCCTCCAGCCTCCCCCTCCCCCTGCCCCCTCCCCAAGCTAGCTGCTTATTTTGGGTAGAAGGACAAAGATTACATGGGAAGTAGGCAAAGGGAATTATAGGCATGGGTAAGTAGACAAAAGGGATAAGAATGGGTATAATGATTACCCACTACAGGCAAGAGCTGGGGTTGCAAATGGCAGGCTCCCCTCCAGAACTCCATTGTTTTCGCAACAGAGTTGTTATTCTTTCCATGATGATAGGCAGTTCTCTGATAAGGAGAATGGACCGCATTTGGAGGTTAACTGCCAGGTCCCAGGGGCATTAACTCCCAGGTCCCAGCCAGGTCAGACTGTGCTTTCTTTAATCAGAACAAAACAATCATGGTTAACAGAGCATGATTAATATTTCTTGTAACTATAGCTAGTCCTCACTATTTCTCCCTCCCTCCCCTAACAATTTGACTTATTTTACCCTTGTACCTAGTACTGTTTTATTTGCCAGGGCCGATGCCTGAGAGATTCTCCCCTCACCCAATCCCATCTTTTACTTACATGATAGTTTAATCTTTCAATAAGAAAAAAACCGAATTTCTTATAAAATAAGGTATCTCAGTATAAGGAGGAAAAGCAATACTTGAATTTTAAAAAGTGAAAATCTAAACTAATAAAGACAGCTGGGCCAGTAATAGATAATGAATAATACATTTTAATAGTATGTAATAAAAATAAAGCCAAAATAATATTCAAATATATTGAACTTTTATTTCAACATATTACAACAAAATTAAATGTCCAGAAATTTTTGTTTTGTATATTTAAAAAATCCCATAAAAACATAAGCCTATCTCTGAGGACAGCCTTGTATAAAAATAATAGAGATCTTGGAATAAATAGACTTGGTAATAGAATCACTATCAAGTACTTTTTCAGCTCTTCCCAAACTGCTGAGGTAGTTCAGTACAGAGCAGTCCTCTCTGTCTCTTAATGGATGCTTCTCTCTGTGAATTTTAACACAATAAAACAAATAAGATATGCATTGTGCTTGCTTCTCCCTGTTATTATTACTCAGAAATAAAAATCTGCCTGGAGGGACAGGGACTCCAGTGTAAATCTGAGTAGAGTGAAAGGATTCATTCAACTTCTTATATGTCACTGGAGATTTAAACTGCACCCTAAACCTAAAGGTCTGTTTTTTTGCTGTGAGACAAAGACCATGAAGTCAAACAAAGGACTCAAAAAATTCCTCAAGAATAACCACCGCTTTTTGTTCTAACTTCACTTTCCTCAGTGTAGGATGTGCATCCTTTCCCATTAAAAATAAAATGAGATATGCTAACTTTTAGGTAAGAAGTGTTCAAACTTTGTATTATTTGAGGTTCAATCATAATTTATTTTTTAAATATATTTTTATTGATTTCAGAGAGGAAGGGAGAGATATAAATATCAATGATGAGAGGGAATCATTAACTGCCTTCTGCACGCCTCACACTGAGGACTGAGCTTGCAACCCAGACACGTGCCCTGACTGAGAATCGAACTGTGACCTCCTGGTTCATAGTTTGATGCTCAACCACTGAGCCATGCCAGCCAGGCTTAATCATAATTTATAACATTATTTGAGTATATGAATTTTGGGCACAAGTCCAGCAACTGAGATTAATTGTAGAATAAATGTACTTTTATTCACATTAGAGGGTAAAATCAGAATGTAGAGGAACAGAGCAGACCAATCAAAGATGTGGGCTTTGGAGCCAGACTACTTGAGTTTAGCATTTACTAGGTTGTGTAAGCTTGTGCAAATATCTTTCATGTTCTGTTTCTCAGCTTCTCCATCTGCAAAATGGAGATAATACATGGAGTAGTTATGAGGATTAAAAGAGTTAATTGTGTAATGTAGTTAGAGTCTGGTTCATTGTCAATATTCAATAAGCCTTAGTCATTTTTATTGGATAATCCATAAAATGGATAGTGGAGTTGCGTGGAGTGGAGTGGAGTTGGGTAAGTGCTATGAGACCAAGGAGAAAGTAGCATGGGATCCATGGAAGTCAAATGGGCTTGCTGCACTGAAGTTCAGCATCCAGTGATCACCCTCAAGGTGGCTCTGCTTGAGGGTGAAGAGTTAGTTCATCAAGCAGCCAGGTCCTGCATTTTAGCTCAAACTCTTGACTGCTAATCTTAAACAAGACCTCTCTTGGGCAGGGATCCCCTTGAAACCACACTTGGCACGCTA